CGCGCTCACTGCCCGCCCGCATCATGCTCAAGTGCATCCCGCTCTGGCGTTGCAACCGGCACGTGGAGTCGGTGGATAAGAGGCACTGCTCGCTGCAGGCTGTGCCGGAGGAGATCTACCGCTACAGCCGCAGCCTCGAGGAGCTGTTGCTCGATGCCAACCAGCTGCGCGAGCTACCTAAGGTGAGCGGCCGCCGCAGCACCTGCTGCCCCGCCCGCAGTCCCGCGCTCAGTTTTCTGGGCAGTGTGTGACTTCTGGGGCGGCCGGCTAGAGCGAGACCTCAGCAGGCGCTGCCCGGGCTCGGTCGGCACCGCAACCTCCAGCCGGCCCTGCTGGTTCCTACTGGCCAGAGCCCCGCCCCAGCCAGCCCCACCCTCCCCCAGTCGCTTGTGTTGGCACCTGGTGGCAGCCTGTCTGGGGACCGGGTGGATACTGAGCCTAAAAGGGGAGCCAACAGAGAAACCCGTGAGAGCACAGGAGGTGGATGGGACCAGGGTGCGAGGTCGACCTTGGCTAGCAACAGCTTGCTGGGCTGCTTTAGAGGTAGGGCCTGGTTTTCGTGCACCGCGTTCGGCTCCTTTTTTCCCTTGGGTTCGAAGCTGAGTGGGATCCTCCTCAGAGGATAGTGTCAGATCTATTCTGTCATCTCTCAGCGGAGGGCCCACCTCTGACTGCCAGTGTTCCTTCCTGTCGGTTTGTTTTTGGTTTTGTTGTTCTGAGGCCACTCCAGAAAGACCAGAGGAAGCAGGTTGTGAAAGATTTACTTTTCTGAGATGGGGGGCCGAGTGGTCTGATATTCTTGAGGGCTGGGTGGCACGGGTTGTGACCCCAGTCCAGGTCTGTTTGTGCCAGCTCTGTTCTTCACGGATCTTTATAGTATCTATGTGTGGATCCTGAAATTTTGTACCTGTGTTTCTCTCTGGTATTCTTACTACAGTTCTCTGGACGGTCTTTGTCCAGCTCTTGCTGCTCGTTGCTGGGGTGCCTGAAGGGTTTATCTGTGGTGGAAGAAGCAGTTTGGGGAGTGGGTAGAATCCTAAGAGTGGCCCATAGGGCAGAGGGCAGGACCTGTCTAGTCAGGAGCTGATGATATTTCAGCTGGGACATGTTATCTGGGAAGCAGAACAGTAGTGGTGCTTATGGCAGATACCACAAGGGAGACCACCACACCTCAAGTGGACAGGGGTATGTTGTGCATGTTTCTCTGCCTGGTTTCTAGCACACCAGGTGTCATGGCTAGACTGCCAGAACCGTGTGTGACCTGGGACACACAGAGGTCCAGGGACCTGTGGCTGTGATCCTCCTGGTCTAGAAACGCCTCACTACCCTTAGAGCTTTGGCTGTAGATGTTCACTGATCACATCTTCTGCTACCCACAGCCTTTCTTCCGGCTATTGAACTTGCGAAAGCTGGGCCTCAGTGACAACGAGATCCAGCGGCTGCCTCCTGAAGTGGCTAACTTCATGCAGCTCGTGGAGCTGGATGTGTCCCGGAATGGTGGGCAGGCAGGCGGGGGTGGTCCTCTGGCTGTGTGGAAGTAGGGTGGAGGGGGGGGGCTCCTGGGATCTGAGCCTATAGCATCCTCATGCAAGCCCCTCTCCACACGTAGACATTCCTGAGATCCCCGAGAGCATAAAGTTCTGTAAGGCTCTGGAGATTGCCGACTTCAGTGGGAACCCCCTGTCCAGGTAAATGTCGTCCATAGTGGGGTTGGCTTTGGGCCGTGGAGGGTTCCATAACCCTTCTGGGGGATCTAAGGTCTGCTGCTTCCTTTCCCTAGGCTTCCGGATGGCTTCACACAGCTGCGCAGCCTGGCTCACCTGGCCCTAAACGATGTGTCCCTGCAGGCGCTGCCTGGAGATGTGGGCAAGTGAGTGATCCCCTTGGTGAGTGGGTCTGAGTGCAGGGAGCACGCGTCTTGGCCCTTTCTTCCTCAGCCTTGGTCCTTGGTCTCTTTCAGCCTGGCCAACTTGGTGACCCTGGAACTCCGGGAGAACCTGCTTAAATCTCTCCCTGCGTAAGTTTGGGGCCTCCACCTAGACTGTGGTAGAGCTATCTGTGTTGGGGCTTGGACATCAAGCCTTTTTCTTCTGCAGGTCCCTGTCTTTCCTGGTCAAGCTAGAACAGCTGGATCTGGGAGGCAATGATCTGGAAGTGCTGGTAGAGTGAGGGCTGCCTGGGGAAGGACAGGCGGGGTAGCTGCCGGAGGAGGTCACACTGGTTTCTCCTGTCTCTGTCCTTTCTTGTAGCCTGACACTCTGGGGGCTCTGCCTAACCTAAGGGAGTTGTGGCTGGACCGAAACCAGTTGTCGGCACTGCCTCCGGTAAGTGAGGGTGGGGCTGGCTTTACCCCCCCACACACACACACACATGCTGCCCTTTGACCTCTTGCCTGTCCTCAGGAGCTAGGGAATCTGCGGCGACTGGTATGCCTGGATGTGTCAGAGAACCGGCTGGAAGAGCTGCCTGTGGAGTTGGGTGGGCTGGCACTGCTCACGGATCTGCTGCTTTCCCAGAACCTGCTTCAGCGGCTGCCAGAGGGCATCGGTCAGTGTGCCTGCCCAGAGGGCCCTGGGGACTGTTCACTCTCATCATTGGCCTTATGAGGTGTCAAACCGTGTCTTGGGTTAGGACCTGACTTTACCCAGGCTAGAGGTGTCCAGTGAGGGAAGGTTAAGATAAGGCCAGGGTTGGATACCCCACTGTCCAATTAATACCCAAGGGTCAGCATCACTTATGGTGACCGGAGTCAAGAGTATGGGTTTACAAGGGTCAGTGGGTGGAAAGAGCCTTGGGGAATAAGCATAGGGAATCTTGGAGTTCTCAGAGAGCTACCACCCGGAATGTGGGACCAGGCTATGGCCATTCTGAGGAACCACATACTCAAGTACCCTTGACTTGACTCAATCTAGTCACCGTGTCTCCTTGATGCCAGGTCAGCTGAAGCAGCTGTCAATCCTGAAGGTAGACCAGAACCGGCTGTGCGAGGTGACTGAGGCCATTGGGGACTGTGAGAACCTCTCTGAGCTGATCCTCACAGAGAACCTGTTGACGGTAGGGCAGCCCTGAGTCACCAAGCCCTTTAGGGTGTGCTGAGTGCAGTCAGTGCTAATATGTAGCAGGGACACAAGTACCTCGTGGCAGTGGCATGTGCTGGTGGTGGCTGATCCCAAGGGAAGTGCTTGCTAGGGCACCCTTGGTCAGGAGAAAGAGCTCACTGGCAAATGAGATGGCCTAGGACTTCGGGGACCCTATAACCCTGCCAGTTAAAGCACTCAGGCTGTGCTTCTCCAGACACCGTGCAGTGTCGGGGAGGACTGGGAGGAAGGCCAGGGTAGAGTGGACAAAAGGAAGACTGCCCTTCAGTGTGTGTGCCCCATTGTAACCAGGGGGGGGGAAGCTGTAGCGCCCAAGCTAGAGATGTCTGCTGTGATGGTAGCCTCGGGCTGAAAGTCAGACTGGCGTGTGGGTAGTGTGGAATGTTCCTGTGTGTGGAGTACCCAGAATCACAGTAGTGAGAGAAGACAGTGCCCTGGAAATGAAAGAGCAGCTCTGAGTGCTAGGCACCTTGGATGGTGGGGGTCACAGGTCCATAGCCTGGGTAGACTGAGCTAAGTGGTTATAGGAAAGGGCTAGAGAAGACAGTCTGGGGTCTTTCGTGGCTTGGCAGGGCGTTTGGTGTCCTTGAGGGTAAACAAAACAAAACAAAAACTGTGCAAACTGGGTCCATGTCCAGCCGTAGTTCCTGAGGACTTGGGGAACCCTGGGGAACTAGTCAGCTTACCTCAAGGGAGACCTTTCCTTTCCCAAAGCCTCTCTCTTTCCTCCTGCCCCAGGGGGTTTCTGTCAGCCTCAGACCCTTCCTTTTCCCGGCCAGGCCTTACCCCGCTCTCTGGGCAAGCTGACCAAACTGACTAACCTTAATGTGGACCGGAATCATCTTGAGGTGCTGCCACCTGAGATTGGAGGCTGTGCAGCCCTCAGTGTCCTCTCTTTGAGAGACAATCGCCTGGCTGTCCTTCCCCCTGAGCTTGCCCACACAGCTGAGCTGCATGTGCTTGATGTAGCTGGGAACCGGTGAGTGTCTGTGTGGCCCCTGGGGACCAGGCTGCGTCCTCTGTCTGTGCTGACCATGCCTGCCTGGCCTCCAGGCTGCGGAGTTTGCCGTTCGCGCTCACTCACCTCAACCTCAAGGCACTGTGGCTGGCGGAGAACCAGGCGCAGCCCATGCTCCGCTTCCAGACTGAGGACGATGCCCAGACTGGCGAAAAGGTGCTGACCTGCTACCTGCTGCCCCAGCAGCCCTTGCCAAGCCTCGGTAGGTTGCTGATGGATGGGTCTTGAGTTTTGGGTGGCTGAGGCAGAGAGACCAGCGTGAGTCCCTGACGCATGCCTTCCACAGAAGACCCCGAACAGCAGAGCAGTCCCTCAGGGAGCTGTAGTGATGCCCCTCAGAGCCGTGTCAGCGTCATCCAGTTCGTGGAGACGCTTGAAGGTGACGAGGATGCTGAGGAAGCTGCAGCCGAGAAGCGGGTATGGAGGGGTGGGGACTCTGGGCGGTACGCTTCTATCCCACCCCTGCCTGACCCCTTCCCGGCCTCTGTTCCTCATCCCTGTCCCCATGGCAGGGCCTACAGCGTAGGGCCACACCTCACCCCAGTGAGCTCAAGGTGATGAAGAGGGGCATTGAAGAGCGCCGGAACGAGGCCTTCATCTGTAAACCTGATCCCAGCCCACCCTCACCTTCAGAGGAGGTAGGCGTGAAGAGATTGGGAGCCCTAGATGTCATCCATCCTGACAGTGAGCCCTGAGGGCAGAGGCTCCATGGGGAGGGGCCCGGAGATAGGGCTGGTGAATTGGACTGGGGCCACATAGTCAGGCAGCACCTGGGGCTTGGGCTGGGCAGCAGCTGGGTGCAGGATGGGTCTTATGTAGTGCCTACCTGTGGAGTCAGAATGAGGGGCAGAGCCAGGGTTGGAGTTTCCCAGGTCTGAGTGCTAGGCATGCCTTGGTGTCTCGGGATGAGGTTGGCCAGGGGTCAGGCTGAAGGAGAGCTCTGTTTTCCATCCCTCGGCTGTCCCTGGGAAGGAGTTTGGTGCTAGAGCAGGCCAGGTCACTTGCTTATTAAGCTTCAGGGCTGCGGGATGAGTCTGGGTAACTGGGTCCAGCGGTTAGGCAGACGGGGCATGTACTGGCCGTGCGTGGCTACTTCCCAATTTCGATAGCAGTAGGAGGGCTCACTTCAGACTGATGGCCTCCTGGGACCTCCTGTGCTTGTCTTCCCGAATCCGGGAGAAGGCCTCGCTAAGGTCTGGCCACAGAACCGTGACCTTGCATGACTCTGGAAGCGGACAGGGAGTGATTGCAGGAAGTAAGCCGGCTGGGGTATTATGACCAGGGCAGCAGGAACCGGCCACCTGGGTGTACCTCTGGGGGACAAACTTCCCTGCAGCCTGACCCCACTCCTCCTCAGGAGAAGAGGCTGAGTGCCGAGTCTGGCTTGAGTGGAGGCTCTGGCCCATCAGCAAGCACAGTCTCCGAAGGCCAGCCTGAGATCCTGCTGGCTGAGGAACAAGGGCTAAGCCAGCAAGAGGCCATACCTGGACAGGAGGAAGACACAGAGGAGGACTATGATGAGGTAAGGGCAGACGGGAAGGCAGCCTGTAGGCCAGAAGGCAGCCTTTCTAGGGTCGATGCTTCTCACATCCTATACGTCTTCCTGAGCGGGATGTGTGGTTGGGGCCGTGCCAGGCGTCGGTGGAATGGTGAAGGGCTTCCTCTGGCAGAGTTAGTGCCAGATGTGGGATAGGCGGTGGTCGTGAGGGCTCCAGGGCAGGTTGAAGTTCACTTCTCAGCCAAGTTCAGTGCAGCCAGATTCCGCACGTCCGTGCTTTCCCTAGACGGTGGGTGTCCTCCTTTTCCCGGCCCCAGTGTATGCTTCCACCTGCTTGGTCTCACATGTTCCCAAGTCTCCATCTGGAAGGAGCAGTGTCCTCCGGTCTCCACAGCTGGATTTCCTGTGCACTTCTACATTCACACCAGGGACCTGGGCAGCTTCCGGCTGTTACCTGCAGGGCTTAACCAGTCAGCCCCAGAGCTGGGCCCTGGCAGGAGCGAGCTAGGGCCAGGGTGCCACCCTCATCTTCCTACCACTTAGCCCACAGTGCACTTCGCCGAGGACACACTGATGCCCAGGGAAGATGGTGAGAGCGAAGAGGGCCAGCCCGAGGCTCCCTGGACACTGCCCAGCGGCCGGCAGAGGCTCATCCGCAAAGACACACCCCACTACAAGAAGCACTTCAAGATCTCCAAGCTCCCTCAGCCCGAAGCTGTTGTAGCCCTGCTGCAGGGCGTGCAGACAGACAGGCAGGGCCCCGCTGGAGGTTGGCACAATGGCCCCCACACACCTTGGGCTCCTCGAGCCCAGGAGGAAGAAGAGGAGGAGGAGGAGAACAGGGTTGAAGAAGAAGGGGAAGCCACCACGGAGGAAGAAGAAGAAGAGGACAAAGAAGAGGCCGTGGCTTCTGCCCCCTCTGTCAAGGTGTGTGTCATTCCTGTCCCAGTCTGACCCAGGCTCCGCTGGCTCAGTGGGCTGCTTTGAACCCTGGCAGGTGACAGCATGGAGAACATCCGGCCCTAATCTGACAGCCCTAATCAGGTCAGGCCCTGGTCTCCTGACCCCTTGGTCCTCAGGAGAAGAGGACTGAATGTGCTGTAATGGGCATTGTTGTCACATGTCCCCATCACTGAGTCCCAGGGTTCCCTGCCTGCCGTTGATCTTATTTCAAGTGCTTAGCAGCTCCCTGGGCCTGCCTGGTGGGGTAGGAGGCCAGGGCGCTTGGAAGCTGAGGGCCCCTGTGTGTCCTGTGTGTTCAGGAATCTTGGACAAGGTCTTCCTCAGGAGCTGCTGGCTCTCCCAGGATCCTTCCTGCCTCAGGAAGTGACCAGCTTTGAGGCCTTGCCGCTGGCCTGTGGCCCATCCTGTGGATCTGGTGGAAGCTCTTATGCCTTGTCAGGGCCTTGTGGGATCCAGGCAAATCTATAGAGCGGTGGCATCTCTTCTTTATCGTCATGTTTGATTTTGATGCCTCAGAAAGGACCTTCCCACTTACTGGAGACTCCTCGAGGCCAGAGAAAGCCCTAGCTACCAAACGTCCAGCCCTTTGCCCCGTACTGCTCCTACCCTGAGAGTGTGGGCTGATGATACATGATATCCGGGGCAGTGTGGGGGTCAGTCAGGGACAACCAGGAATAGACCTGCCCCCCTGGAGCCTTCACCCTAGCCAGCCGAGCCACGCCATAGAAGTGGTCTGCAGAGTTGCTCATGATCTACAGACGGGGGATCCAGGTGGGAAGGGGCTGACTCGGATCACAGGAGCTTGATGAGATCTTCCTTCTGTCCTGCCTACTTGTGGTGAGGGCTGGGTAAGGTGGTGGCAGTTCCCAGCGGTGGCTAACCTGCATGCCTCGCTGCTCCTGTCCTAACAGGGGGTGTCGTTTGACCAGGCCAATAACCTGCTGATAGAGCCTGCTCGCATTGAGGAGGAAGAGGTCTGTACTGCTCACTGCTGCTCTTTGCTCTGGGCCCGGGGCTCCTGCTGACTTTTGCTTCCTGGGCTGCGGGCTCTCACTTCTCCCCACCTCCATGGCTCAAACTCAGACCTTCTCCCAGAAGAGTTCCTGACAGCTGCCACAGGACTGGGGTTCTGGCTCCACTTCCCCAGGGCCTCCTGCTCCCCTGGCTGGGCAAGCATGTCTCCACACTGGGGCAGCCTGCCTTGTAGGGGATGAGTGGAGGTACTGGGCCATTTTTTATATCCTACTGAGAGCCTTCAGGTGTCCTTACGGATAGAAGCAAGGCCAGGCTTCCCTTTCTGGAGGACAGCTAGCTCTGCACTGCGTGGGCTAGCTCACAGAGGTTGTGCCTGCCCTGGGATCGTAGGCACCTCCCCGCTTCTCTTTACTACCCTCGTCGGCACAGCTCCCCAGGGATGAGTTGTAGGGGGTTGTCAGCAGCCAACCAACCTGTCTTGCTGCTGCAAGCTCCTGGGCTTCCCAGGTCTTCTCAGATATCCACGTCCACTCTGTTTGCAGTTGACGCTCACCATCGTGCGGCAGACGGGGGGCCTGGGCATCAGTATTGCAGGGGGCAAAGGCTCCACCCCCTACAAAGGAGATGATGAGGTAAGAGCTGCCTTGTCGGTAATACCAGGCCCCCATCTCCATGAGCTCCCTCTTGCCCACACCGGTCACTCTGTCAGGGGTGTCAGTGGTCACATCCACTCGGGTGGTCAGGCAGGATGTTTGGAGTCTGAGAACAGCTTACAGGGCAGCTGAGTTTTTCCCTTTGCAGACAGGTTTTCCTTCCCCATTTTCTCATGCCAGCTCTGGGGTCAAAGTCTCTTTCGAGGTTGACTTGTGTATTCTCGCTTCTTGTGCTAGAGCCCTCCCAGTAGCTGAGTGCAGCCCCTCTGACCTCGAGGACTGCTGTTCTCCAGGGTGCATGTGGGGTCTTTGCATCCTCTGCAGAAGCAGGCCAGACTGTCTGGCTCTGCACCTTTTACAGCCATGAGGCGGGGCTTGCCTCTGCTGGTGCTCTTGTGGACCAGTCCCCACTTGTCTTCTAGGGCATTTTTATCTCTCGAGTGTCTGAAGAGGGCCCTGCAGCCCGTGCTGGAGTCCGAGTGGGTGACAAGCTCCTTGAGGTAAGTGTGACCTCCTCGACTCGCAGCAAGGGACAGCTATGCCCTTCCAGGTCCAGATAGTCCTGATTATTAGGCTACTTGGCTATTCCCATCAGGAAGTAGTCTTCCCATCCAGAAGCCCAGGGTCCAAAGATACCTGGGTAAAGTTATTGAGACCTTCAACAGTAGGCTTAGAAGCCCTCCGTGCCAAGCTTCCTCTCCATCCGGGTCTGGGATGTAGCTTAGTGGTAGATCACTAGCCTACCACGTATTATTATAACATTTTGGGTTTAATCTCTAGTACTACAAGGGCATGAGTGTAAAAACAAAGAAGCTGCCCTCGGCCTAGACAAGAGGCACCAGGCAAATCAGAAGTAGCCCGGCAGGGTCAGACCTCTGCAATACTGGTGGGAATCTTGTGTGGAAACCCTGGAAGTTTCTGCCTGGATACTTGGCCATTGGAGAACTCAGAGGAAAGCTTTGCTCTTCCTGGGGGGACAAGGATGAGTGAGAGAGAAGGTTCTGGGGTTCTAGAACAAGAGGGCTTGGGGAGAAGGTGGGTGCTGATGTCCCTCATGCTTTCCTGCTCAGCTCCACTTCCAGCTCTGCCTTGAAGCATGTGGAGTTGGCAACCTAATAGCCTTGCATGTTCTCTGCTAAGCAGATGACAGTTTCTGAGTGAGCGCACTGGTGTAGAATGGCCACAGGCATCTGCCCGTGCCTCATCGCTAGCACAAAGACAAAAAGAGCATAAGTGCTGGGCGGCGGTGGCGCACGCCTTTAATCCCAGCACTCGGGAGGCAGAGGCAGGCGGATCTCTGAGTTCAAGGCCAGCCTGGGCTACAGAGTGAGTTCCAGGGCAGCCAGAACTGTTACACAGAGAAACGCTGTCTTGAAGAAGAAAAACAAGAGCACAAGCATGCTGTCAGGATGGCTGTGCTGTCAGGATGGCTGTGCTGTCAGGATGGCTGTGCTGTCAGGATGGCTGTGCTGTCAGGATGGCTGTGCCTGAATGCTGATTTGTGCTGCGGCTTTGTCCTCTGCTGCCCACAGGTGAATGGTGTGGCCTTACAGGATGCAGAGCACCACGAGGCTGTGGAAGCACTTCGAGGAGCAGGTGCTGCTGTGCAGATGCGAGTGTGGAGGGAAAGAATGGTGGAACCTGAAAACGCAGTCACCATCACCCCCCTGCGCCCTGAGGATGACTATAGTCCCCGGGAGCGGCGGGGAGGCGGCCTGCGCTTGCCCCTGCTTCCGCCTGAGACTCCTGTACCCCTCCGCCAGCGCCATGCTGCCTGTCTTGTGCGCAGTGAAAAGGGGCTGGGCTTCAGCATTGCTGGTGGAAAAGGCTCCACACCTTACCGGGCTGGTGATGGGGTGAGGCAGTGGTCTAGAGGGGAGGGGGTCTGTCCCTGATGAACGGAGGCATGTTAGGTCTCTAATAGAGTGGCTTCAGTGTGGCTTCTCTGTCCCTGCAGGGCATCTTCATATCCCGCATTGCAGAGGGAGGGGCTGCCCACCGGGCAGGCACTCTACAGGTCGGAGACCGGGTCCTCTCGGTGAGTGGGGCCAGGTATGTCCTGGTTAGTGTCTTTTATTTGTCTTGCTTACCCTCTCTGACCTGAGTGTGTCCCTGCAGATCAATGGAGTGGACATGACTGAGGCAAGGCATGACCATGCTGTCTCCCTGCTGACTGCTGCTTCCCCTACCATCTCCCTGCTTCTGGAGAGAGAGACTGGAGGGACTTACCCACCTAGCCCCCCACCACATTCCTCCCCAACCCCTGCTGCTACTGTTGCTGCTGCCATGACCACTGCCGTCCCCGGGGAACCTCTGCTCCCTAGGCTGTCCCCTAGCCTGTTGGCCACTGCCTTGGAAGGACCATACCCTGTGGAGGTGAGACATCTGCCCTTGTCCTGCTCAGCATCCACTCAGCTCCCGGTGTAGAGGAAAAGCCTGCCCAGGATCCGCTAGGCATAAGTTGTAGCCACACTAGGCAGAAAGCAGCACATGTCCTTCCTGCGCGTGCCCGAGAAACTGAGGTTCTCCAGGCAGCCTCCATGATGTTTCCCCTCTGCCCTAGCATAATCTGCCAGGAGCCTGCTCTGCTCCTTGCTGTGGTCGGTGAGGATGTGGAGATGTCAGGCTGTGTGCATAATAGGGTAGCAGCCTGCCCCACAGGCAGATGGGCCGCCTGGGTCCATCCATCCTCCTTGCACTTGTGGAGTCAGCTCCTTTCACCCTTGCCCTGTTCTGACTGAGGCCCGCCCTGTGTCCTCAGGAAATCTGCCTGCCCAGAGCTGGCGGTCCTCTGGGGCTTAGCATCGTAGGAGGTTCTGATCACTCCAGCCACCCATTTGGTGTCCAGGATCCTGGCGTATTCATCTCCAAGGTAAGTAGGCCTGGCAGGCAGCTTGTGCAGGAAGCGCCCACCCCAGCCAGTCTGGGCAGCCATCAGTGCCCCTGGTCTGCTGATGTTGTCCTTCCCTATAGGTGCTTCCTCGGGGCCTAGCTGCTCGCTGTGGCCTTCGGGTTGGGGACCGCATCCTAGCAGTAAATGGGCAGGATGTTCGGGAGGCTACACATCAAGAGGCAGTCAGTGCCCTTCTCAGGCCCTGCCTGGAGCTGTGTCTGCTTGTGCGGAGGGACCCACCACCTCCAGGCATGCGGGAACTCTGCATTCAGAAGGCTCCTGGGGAGAAGCTGGGCATCAGCATCCGAGGAGGCGCCAAGGGCCATGCAGGGAACCCCTGTGACCCCACAGATGAGGGCATCTTCATCTCCAAGGTGAGGGCTCTTCCTTCCCGGGGCCACAGATAGGCAGGTGCCTGGCGGCGATCTCACACTGTTCTCCCTCCAGGTGAGCCCTACAGGGGCTGCCGGGCGTGATGGGCGGCTGCGTGTGGGGCTGCGGCTGCTGGAAGTGAACCAGCAGAGCCTGCTGGGCCTCACACATGCTGAGGCTGTGCAGCTGCTGCGCAGCGTGGGTGACACCCTCACCGTGCTTGTCTGTGACGGCTTTGACACCAGCACCACCACCACGGCAGCCCTGGAGGTTAGTGGCCTACCCTGGGGACCAGGTGCTGTCCTGGCACTGCCCTTTAGAGTCTGGCAGTCTGGTGTCTGTGCTTGGGTCGGAAAGTGCTTGGCAGTTATGAGCCATCCGTGTGTGGGGTGGAGGGACTGGGTTTTGCAGGCCCTTTGCTGAACCCTGTCACTACTGTCTGGGGGCTGGGGTCTGGGTGGGCAGGCAGTGTAGAGGTAGGGGAGTCCGCAGCTGAGTGACAAGAAGCTGAGAGAAGAGCTGTAGCAGGGCTCTGGGAAGGCAGCACTTGAGGGCATGTGGCAGCTGGCAGGACAGAGAGGACAAGGAGCCCTGCTCAGAGTCTCCCTGTACCTCCCCCCAAAGCAGGAAGGCAGCTTCCTGGCTCTGCTGGCCCTTAGGATGTCTCTCTGACAGGCCCTTGGCCGAGCTGACTCCCACCCTCTGGCTCCTGGTTTCTTTTGCTATACCACAGGGCAGAGCCAGGGCATGGGCCCAAGATAGATCCTCTTCTGCTCTCTTGCTTCCTGGAGTAGAGCAAGACTCTCCGGCATCAGAACGAGGCTGAAGCCCAAGAGGCAGGCACCCTGGGCAGGTCTCCCGCTAGCCTCGTTGCTCCTCTTGGGGTTCATGCTTCCTTCCTCATTGTCCTGCTTCTACCTGCTCTCCTTAGGACCCTCAGCTTCTTTCCCTGTAGTCCAAGTGAGTGTTCAAGGAACCTTTATGTGCACTGGCTGTCTGCTGCTCCTGGACATCCTCACTAGCCAGGCGGGTCTCCAAGGTGCTGGTGGCTGTACTCCCGGGAGCCATGGCTTTTACTCCTTCATCACTAGGGACAGGCAGCCATCCTAGGTTGGTCTCCTTTGGCAGTGGATTTTTGAATTAGTGACTTCCGGTCAGATGCTGACAGAAAGATACCCTCTGGCCACAGACCCTGCCTCTTGTCCCAGACTAGCTGGCGAAGGTCACTGGATGGGAAACAAGTTAGCCTTGTCTTTGTGTCTAGATGGGTATTGGGCTGCAGCCTGTGTGAGCTGCTACTCCCTGGCTTAAGGTTGGCCCCTGTCCTGCTTCTCCCCAGGGGAGTCCTGTGTCCTGGGCCAGTTTTTTTGTGTGACTTCTCCCTGGGTGATCTAGTACCAGAGAAGCCCCGCCACCGCTGCCTTTTGTTTATGCACATCAGCACGTGTGTTGGAAAGTGTTGCTTCGTGCACACTTGAATCTTTTGGTTCAGAATGAAGCCTCTGGAAAGAGCCGGAATGTCAGTGCTCCAGGGCTGGCGTGGTCCTGGGTTCCCTTGGCTGTGCATTTGCTCCCCGCTGTAGTGGCCCAGGCTGTCCTTGAAGTACCTGGGTGGCTCAGGAGTGTAGGGAAGCAGCTGTGTATCTGCACGTGCTTGGTCCTGCCAAAACCTGTCTTGGCTGGATCTCCATCTGTATCCTGTCTGGGGAGCAAAGCAGGTTTCTGTTAGCCGAGCTAGTGAGAAGGTCTGGGCAGTGGGCAGCTGACCAGGAGCCTTTGAGAGTCCTTTCCTGCCCACAGCAGCTGTCTGCTTTGATGCCCCTTCTCAGTCCTTGTCTCATCGAGATGCCTTCGCATAGTCGACTTTCTGCTCCCACACCCTAGGAGGGGGACCTTGCCCGTGCTAGGGAGGGCTCCACTGAACTCTGGCCCTAGCCCTGGGACCCCCTTGTGAGCTTCTCAGCACAAAGCTGTTGTCCTTCTTCCACTGGGACTTTTTCTTTCTTGATGCTTCTGGCTCCAAAGTTTGTTTGTTTGAAACAAGTCTCACTGTGTAGCCGAGGTTGGCAGTCCCCTGCCCTCTCCCCTGCCCTCTTCCCCGCCCTCTGAGGTTAGAGTTACATCTGTGTGCTCCAGCACCCATCTTGTTTCCCTTTTAGGGTGGGATCCTTTGATTTCCAAAATTTGCAAATTTATGAATTAAGGCTTCTCCTGTAGGACTGTGTGTGTGGTTTGGTTGTTTTGTTTTGTTTCAAGATAGGGTTTCTCTGTGTAACACCCTTGGCTGTCCTAGAACTTGCTTTGTAGACCAGGCTGGCTTTGAACTCAGAGATCCGCCCGCCTCTGCCTCCTAAATGCTGGGATTAAAGACATGCCACCCCTGCCCAACATACTTTGATTTTGACAATACCACAGTGGTTTGTGAAAAGCCCTTGCTTCTCACTGCTGAGGGGAGCAGGATTTGGCTGTGTGGTAGGTCCTGTGCACTCTAGGACCTGTTTCTGGACTTGGTCACGGTGTTCTGTGAAGCTTGCCAGGACAGTGCCACCCTGTGCAGAGGCAGTCACTTTATAGTGTGTTCTGCTGCTGCTCAGTTACACCACCCTTCCATTTTTTTTGTTCTTTTGAAGTTTCGTCTGCTGTGTCTTCTCTTCTGAACAGATATGCCAGGTTCCATCACAGAACTGGCTGGGACTCTGGGATCATTTTGTGGGATTTTCTTGAGCCTCTTCCTGGCTCGCTCTCTCTTCCTGTTGGTGCCAGGGACCCCTGTTGGCTGGCTTCGCGGTGTCTCCTGGCAGAAGCCCTGCGGCTCACAGCCATCACAGTGATGCTGGGCCTCTTCCTAGGGCTTCCCTCTTTGTCTGTTTTCAGACAAAGCTTTGGGCCACTGATGGTGGTGGCCAGGGGCCTTGCCTTGTACCAAACTTTAGCAACTGTTTGTTGTAGTTTCTTTAAGAACATTTTCAAAAGGCGGGAGCTACCTCTGCTTGTAATTGTAAAAACAGCCCTCTCTAGTGGACATCGGGTTTCCTGAAGGGGCCTTACATATATGCTCAGTGGGACTGGCCTGGTCCCAGAGGCTCTAGCAGCATGCTTGGGAGAAAAGAACCATTCTTTACATATCAGGACTCTTCACTATAATGTATGATTCTTGACTTCTCATAGAAAAGCTGAGGACCTGGCACTGGTGGCTTTTGTCCCCACAAGATTGCCCATTCTGAACCCTCTAGGCATGGAAGAGCATACATATATCTTCACTCACAGTCCACTTTAAAAAGAAAAACTTATTGCACTTATTTCTGTGTGTGCCTTGATACGTGTATGGAAGTCAGAACAACTTGTGGGAGTTGGTTCTCTTTCCCATGTCAGCCCTGGGGATTGAACTCAGGTCATCAGTCTTGGCAGCAATTGCCCTTCTCCCCACAAGCCATCTTGCTGACCCAGCACCTCACTTTCCTCACACTGCCCACTTGAGTCATCTGGGCTTGTTTGACCTGTGGGATCAGTTTGCCCGCTATTGAGTGGCTTTGACCTGCACCTTTCTGCCCCCCTCGGGCTTTTGGGTGTAGTGGGGTCGGGGGTGCCCTGTGCTGAAGACTGGTGTTTCCGTCGATCTAGGCTCTTGCTTATTGTCAGACCCGCAGCTGTGGACTTCTCAGTTTCTCCCTACAGCAGCTAGTGGGTCCTAGAAAGGGTGCCACGGGTCGACTCAGCAGCTCCACTTCACCCCCACCCGAGGGGGCCTGAGTCGTTGTGGTCTCAGAGGAAGCGCTTAGTCTTTGTGTTTGGTGTCAAGAGGATATTTTCTGTCGCATCTCTAGTTCCCCTGTAGGTCGAGTTCATCCTCTTGATCACACCGGCCCATCTTTCCCATCCAGATGGGGCTTGACTTGCAGTTGTGGGACTTGGTGCAGCAGTGATGCCCATGCAGTAGCAACTGCTTCAGCACTCCCCCACCCCAGCTAGAACTACCTTGAAGACTACCTGACCCTCCTGTCCTCTTCACTTGAGTCCGCCTGGGTTGGTGCCGGCGTGAGTCCTCATCCTTGACTTGTCCCTGAGCATGTGCCCTGAGGACCGGCTCTCTCCTGCTGGCATCTTGTTCCCATCTCCTTACCCATCACCAGTGCAGACTCTTTCCATGGGCGCTAGTGTGTATTAGTCAGTTCTGTCTTGTTTAAGAGTTATTATTTTATGTGTATGAACATTTTTGCTTACCTGAATGTTTGCCGTGTGCATGCAGGAGCCCGTGGAAATGAGAAGGCATGGGATTCTCCTAGAACTAGAATTTTGGACAGGTGTGAGCTGCCATGTGGATGGTGGGAACCGAACCCAGGTCCTCTGCAATTGCTCTTACTGCTGAGCCATCTGTCTCTTCAGCCCCAGCCATGGCTATTTTAATGATCAAATTGCTCCAATATTGTCTCATGGAAGGGACTTCAGGCTGGCCTGGGTCATTTTGATGCCACCCATCTACTCTAAGCACTTCCTGACTTCTGGACTCGTCCCACACTTTCCTGCCCAGCTGTACTGATTTCTTTTGGTGAACAGTGATGTGTAGAAGCCAAGGTCTAGTGCATTGCTCTTGGGGTATCATGATCAGAGATAAGGGCTGTGTGTGGATAGTTGCTGTCTGGTTATTTCTGGAGCCATAGGAAGCCCGGGTCACTTCATGGCATTGTCCATCTTTCCAATCAACACCACAGGTCAGCCCTTGTTACTCAGTGGCCTTTTCTGACGTGGGAAACCAGGCTTCTCAGCCTTGCTGTTTGTACTTTCTGCTCAGTCCCTGTGTATGACAGTCCTTCCCACCCCGCTGAGCCTGCCTCTCTTGGGCCTCCCCAGGGCCTTTTTGACTAAATTATTCCAGAAGTGAAGAAGGTAGGCACCTTGTTTATGTTGGATTTAGTAGTGTTGTCAGAGTCTGCAGGAGACAGATTGGTCTGCCATTGTGATTGCTTTTACCCAGCGTTCTTACTTCTAGTGATCTTTGCTCTGTGTGTTTAGCTACTCATTTGGTTGGTGTTTGTGATCACTGCACCTTCGTGAATTCACTTTCTGCTCTTCGTTGTCCCCTGTTCCTGCTTGACACTCTTGACCTCCAGTTCATCTTCCCCATGTGAGCGGCTGCTCCCTGTGTGTTCTCTCTGTCTCTCGTTGTTCCCGTGCTCTGGATCAGCATTACACAGCTGGGCTGTGTCTGAGGCCACACTGTGCACAGAGTAGGAACCCTGATGGCAACCATGAGACTGTTATCTGTCTTCCATTCTGCTATCACCTCCTCTGTATTCCTCTGGTGGTAGAGGCCTGAGCTGGTCCTTCGTGCTTTGTGGACAGAAGGCAGCTGATGCCGCATTTCCATCACCTATGTTTACCCTTCTTCTAAGTACATTTTAGGCCCAGGCCATGTGTTCTCAGCTGCCTTCTCCCTGCCCAGGACCGTGCATGCACGCATGCATGCATGCGCGCGCGCGCGCGCACACACACACACACACACACACACACACACACTCACACACACTCACACACACTCACACACACACACTCCATCCCAGACTTCCAGTCCCAGAGCTAGTTGAATTTCACCTTACAGTATTTCTGAATCCTTAATCAGCACCCAGACTGCACATTTTAAATGCAGCCTATCCATCTGGAGTGTTACTGTGCTTCCAAGGTCATTGCCTTTGGCTACTCTCTTCCCAGTGCCATCTTATCAGCATTCCTCCTTTGTCCCTAGAGTGGCCACAGTCGGCTTGTTTTATCCCCATGCCAAGCATTGTGGCTGAGCATGGCTGCTTCACATTCCTGTCATGTTACAGACTTGACCTACTCCCACAGTGACCCCATGAACCTAGGACCACAACTGCTCTTTGTCCCTGGACGACTGGGGACAGGTACACAAAGAGTCATGGGTGGACCAGCAGGTTGTCCACAGAACCTCAGGTGGCCAGCTTGTCAGGATATGGGGTCCTGGTCCAGTCCTCAGCCTGCCCCAGAAGTGGGACCTTGCCAGCAAGTTTCTTCTCTCAGCCCAGTCCTTTCCTTTCAGGTGTCTCCAGGTGTGATTGCCAACCCATTTGCAGCAGGCCTTGGCCACCGGAATAGCCTGGAAAGCATTTCATCCATTGACCGGGAACTGAGTCCTGAAGGCCCAGGCAAGGTCAGGATCAAAGTGGCTGGAAGCCCGGGACTGGCTCTGAGCTACTGGTTCTTGACCATGTCTGCTCTGCTTATAGGAGAAAGAGCTGACCAGTCAAACCCTACCCTGGGAGCCTGAGGCTGCAGAGACTCTGGTGAGTCCCACACAGCCCAGCTCTGCGTCCTGGGTAGCCGCTCCTGTCAGGACATTGCAATGGAGTGGTGGGCAGTCACTTTCCTGGGACATAGATCCTCTCTTAGCACTGTGGTCCATTCTGTCCTCCAGGGACGGAATCTGGAGCCCCTGAAGCTGGACTACCGGGTCCTGGCTGCTGTGCCCAGTGCGGGGAGTTTGCAGAGAGTGAGTGGTGCATGCTGCATTTTTCTGATCTGCCTGTCGTCCCCCTTGTCTTAACTTCCTCCTTCCCTGGGGGCCACTGCTGCCAGCTTGAGAGCCAAGGTCACCATGCAGAGAGCTTTGTCTTGGGTCAGGCAGGGCTTGTAGGTCTGAGCTAGAGCTCTGCCTCCTAGCTAGGCACCATTTGGGGTGCTGTTGTTGTTGTTTGGCAGTGCTGGGGATACAGGATGGAGCCTCATGAATGCTGTATCCAAGCACCGTACCACTGACCTACATGCCAGCCCTTGTCTGTCAAGCTTTTGACCTTTCTTTGTGGCTGTTGCTGTGAGCCCCTCTCCTAGGTGCCAAGGGACCCTTTGAAGTCCCTGACCTCTTCCTTGCCCAGTCTCTCCCCCAGCTAGCTGGGGAGGGCAGAGCCCTGCTGCAGGCAGGCTGCTGGGAAGAGGCAGCTGTCATTCCTCTCAGGCGTCTTGGTGGGGTTTCACGGACATGGCTGCCATGGAGGGGTGGGCTGAAGCAGCTGCAGCCTGTGGAAGAGGCCTTGTGGGTGTGGAAGGTGCAGCACCAACAGCTGGTCTGGGAGTGGCCACTCGGGGACCTAAGCTAGGGGTGTGGCCTGTGAGACAGTCGTGGGCCTGGGAGCAGGAAGAAAGGACATTCGGTCCTCATTGTTCTCCGAGAGGTATTTAAACTATCACTCCCAGAAGATGATGGGAGACCATTGCCAGAATGGGAGGGCTTAAGGGGTGGGCTTGCCGGGACATTGCTGAGCAGTGGGGGAACAGGGAGGGGTCAGGAAGGGCGTTTGGATTTTTGGGTATCTCTCCCCACTCCAAACAGCCCTAACAGAGAAAGCCAGCATAATTTGAGAAAGGGGGACAGTTATAGATTGGGATGCTTCTCTGACTCATGTATGATTGGGAAAGAAGCCCGGGTCAGGTACTGGTGGTAAGTAGGCTTTTTGTGTCCCAACCATCTGGTTTCAGTCTGTTCATCTACTGCCAACTTTCCTTGTAGATTTTAGGGCTGCACCCTTGGTAGTAATCTACTGCTGTCAGCAGGCACCTGACGGTCCAACCTAGACCCTGGGGAGAGCAGAGGCTGAGGGCCAGGGCCACCTGTGTCCAGCCTTGGGGAAGGAGAGCCCTTTATGGAGGTCTCATGGTCGGTCATCCAAGCCTGTCTGATGGCATCCCTGGGCTGTGTGTGTGGTCAGGTTAGGTCACAGGGCTGTGCCTATGCTGCCAGGGTAAATGCGTGGACCAGTTCTTGCCCTGGGTTACTGCTAGGCCAGCTGACCCTCGTTCCCAACTGCTACCCTCTTCCTCAAGGGACCATCTGTGACCACTGGAGGGAAGATGACTGAGGCCCCCTGTTCCCCTGGCAGCCAGCAAGTGAGCATCCCAGGCACAAGTGCCTCATTGTGGGCACCTGTGCAGGTGGGTCCTGGTATGCAGGGTCCCCTTGGGGTACTGCTGTGTGATGTGTTTTTGTCCAGGGACACCTTCCTGATTAAAGCTGGCCTTGGTGAAGGCAGACAGCTTGCTGGAGGAGTTCAAGGCTTCCAAACATTGAGCATGAGATCTTTTCTGTACAGTCGTTCTTGTCTGTGGGTCCCTCCTAGTCCTTTCCTGATGCAGGGAGAGGGAGGGGCCAGGTCTCCAGCCTTCCTGGCAGTGCCTTGCAGGGTGGGGGTAGGGGTGGGCACAGGGTCATTCCCAGCCTAGCTCCTAGCCTCAACCCCTCCAAGACAGGTTTCTGGATGAATGTCCCCTTGTAGCCTGCCTTGTCTCCATCTCTCTCTCTGTCTCTCTCTCTCTCTGTCTGTCTGTCTGTCTGTCTCTCTCTCTCTCTCCCCCTCTCTCCCTCTCTCCCTCTCTCCCTCCCTCCCTCCCTTCCTCCCTCCCTCCCTCCCTCCCTCCTCCCACTCCTGGACCTCTGATCCTGTTCTCCTCTGTCACCACCCCCTTCCCCTTTGCAGACAAAACCGGGGGTGATCCAGCCAATGGCTCAGGCCTGGCCAAGGGGCTCCCCGGCCCCCGGGGGCAGAGGTGGTCCCTGTTCTGTGAGTGTCCTGTTCCACAGTGGGTGAGGGTGGGGAGCAGGATGGTGGGTGTGGGTCAGAGGCAGTTGGAGGATCCAGCTGATGGTTCTTTGGAAGTGGCTGCACGAACAGCTGCCCAGCCTCCCTTGGGGTTTTTCCCCAGCTGCCCTCCCCCGATGAGCTGCCAGCCAATGTGAAGCAGGCCTATAGGGCCTTCGCGGCCGTGCCCAGCGTGCACCCCCCTGAGGACAGTGCCACCCAGGTATGTGCAGTGAGGCCCTGCTGCTGCTACTGCATGCTCTGTAGGGTGGGTGCCCGAGGTGAGTGCCCCCGAGAGAAGCACCAGCCAAGTCTGAGGGCCTGCTCCCCCTCTAGCCTCCAACACCTGGTCCCGCAGCCTCCCCAGAGCAGCTGTCCTTCCGTGAACGGCAAAAGTACTTCGAGTTGGAGGTACGGGTGCCGCAGGCAGAGGGTCCCCCGAAGCGTGTGTCCCTGGTGGGTGCTGATGACTTGCGGAAGATGCAGGAGGAGGAAGGTGAGGAGCCTGGACGTGAGGAGAGGTCTGGGTGGGAAGATGACCTGGCCTCCCTCGTCTGACATGTGTGCCTGCCCACAGCCCGCAAGCTGCAGCAGAAGAGGGCACAGATGCTCCGGGAAGAGGCGGTAACCTCAGGGCCTGACATGGGGCTGGCCTCAGACAGGGAGTCCCCAGATGATCAGCAGGAGACTGAGCAGCCCTGGGCGGTGCCAGGCCATGCAGGAAGGTGAGCGGGGGAGGCTGAGCCCCACTCCCTGCCTGTCTGCCGCATGCCGTTTCCCACCACGCATCCTGTCCTTCCCCAGCCCCAGCCCATCCTCACCCCCACCCCTGGGAGGCAGTGTCCCCGTGAGGACAGCTAAGGCTGAGCGGCGCCATCAGGAGCGGCTGCGCATGCAGAGCCCTGAGCTTCCTGTCCCAGAGCGAGCCCTGTCTCCTGCAGAACGCCGGGCTCTAGAGGCAGAGAAGCGGGCACTGTGGAGGGCAGCCAGGTGAGCACACCCCCACCACCACCACCACCACCAGACCCTACCCACTGCACATCAGGTCCCCTGAGCAGCATTCACTGTCTGGGTCCGCAGGATGAAGTCTCTAGAGCAGGATGCCCTCCGTGCACAGATGGTCCTCAGCAAGTCCCAGGAAGGCCGTGGCAAGCGAGGACCCCTGGAGCGGCTGGCTGAGGCTCCCTCACCCGCACCCACTCCATCTCCCACTCCGTTAGAAGGTGTGTGTTTTCATGGGCCAGCCCAGGGCCCCGCCTGCCATGAGCACCTCTCCCAACACTCTCTTCCTGTTCCCCCAGACTTCAGCCTCCAGACCAGCGCCTCCCCTGGACGCTTGGTAAGGATCCTAATCTAGGGCCTTCCACAGGCCCCGGGGTCTGTCTGACGCTGCAGGGCTCTAGACTCCCCTCCAGCCTCACCTCCCTTGCTCTCTCTGCCTTTCCCCTCATGCTGTCCTTTCAAGCCCCTGTCTGGAAAGAAGTTTGACTACAGGGCCTTCGCAGCCCTGCCTTCTTCCAGACCTGTCTATGACATCCAGGTACCCGAGGCCCCCTGGCCTGTCTGCATGCTCCTGCTCCCTCCTGCCTGTCACCTGCCTCCCTCCTTCATTCCTTTCTGTGTGTTTCCTGCTGTTTCCTGCGTGTGGGGCCTCCCCACCCACCTTGGTCTCGGCCGGCTGTCTGCTCTGACCCTGCCCCAGGCTCTGTGGGCCTCAGACAGCCAAGCCTGCATGCGTTCAGTTCAGGCAGGCCCGGGACCTGCCCTGACCGTCCTGTCTCCCCACCAGTCACCAGATTTCGTGGAAGAGCTTAGGTCTTTGGAACCATCTCCCAGTCCTGGTGAGTTGACAGCTGTCTGGGGTGAGGGCCCAGGCACCCAGAGTTCTGGCTACCTTTGGTTCACGGCTTTTCCACCCTCTCTGCCAGGCCCACAGGACGAAGACGGAGAAGTGGCCCTGGTGCTCCTCGGCAGGCCCTCGCCTGGCTCTGTGGGCCCTGAAGACATGGCGCTGTGCAGTAGCCGTCGGGCCGTGCGGCCAGGACGCCGGGGCCTGGGCCCTGTGCCCTCCTAGGGCCAGGTTCCTCCCCAGACTTAGGGTGGGGAGCCTGCCAGCTTCATCACCTCCCTTACCCCAAGTCTTTTAGCCTTGGTGTTAGCATTTTAAAGAGACCCCTCAGGAGCTCCGGCTTCTGACTAACTGCCCCCGTAGCCGGGATCTCGTGGCGAGACTGTAACTAGTGATGTTTGTACAACCAAAGACTCTATTTTGTGGTTTAAGGAGAATAAAGTTAACTACATTTTACCCTCTGTTGCCTTTTATGCTTCCACCCACCTGTGCTGACTTCCCTGCCCTGAAAGGTGCCAGTGCTCAAGGCTACCTTCCCACGCCCTTCTCCTTCCCACGCCCTTCACCCTTACCCTGGCACCTGTTCCCCTGTGGGATTCAAAAGCCGCTGTCCTCCTGCCTGGGTCCAGACTGGGGATGTGGACTGCTCACATAAATGCCTGGGGCACGTGCTTTATTGGGGTTCGACTAGAGTCCTCCACTGGACAGCTGCACGCGCACTGGGAGCAGGGTCTGCAGCTGGTCAGCTGGTGGCCACTGAACTCGGGTGACGAAGAAGAGGCGGAAGTGGTCCAGGCGTGCCTCTTGGAACTGGGAGGGGTCGTACTCGGGTCCGTCAGTGGGCCGCAGCAGGGACAGATAGCCCTCCTGCGCCAGCAGCCCTCGACTCAACAGCGCCTGCGCCAGGCCAGGCTGCACCGCCTCCAGCTGCTGCTGCACGACTGGGAACAGGTCCATTTCCCGCAGGTCAAACACCAGCGGCTTCCCGTACCTGCACGTGCGTCTGGTGAGGGGGCAGGTAAAGGCCGGGGGAGGGGGGGAGGGGGGGGCCGTCCTGGGCCCTGCCCGCCATACCTGATCGCCCCAAGCAGGGCCAGCCGGATCGTCTCGGGTCTCAAGTGCTCCGGGTTTACAGTGTCCACGTAGTTGGTGTCCTGATATCTCAGGAACGTGGCTGCCTGGCCAGAAGGGTCGATGACAAGAGGCCACCTGAAAGGCAGCCACCTGGTCACTGCCGTCCGTGGGCACCTCTGACTTTGTACCCACACCCAGCCTGGATACTGACCGTCCATCAGCTCGGATTCGGTCACCTACATCCTTCATCAGCACGTCGTGAAGCTCCGTGACCTTGCACTTGAGCCCAGGGGCTTCTGTCTCATCTGTGGAGGTGCCAGTCTGAGGAGCACGGGAAGTGCTAAATCCCTTCCCTGGCGTCTCCTCTCAGGGTCCCCCAGCTGCCCCACCACAGCCATGCCCACCCTCCCTGGTGTCTCCTCTCCGGGTCCCCCAGCTGCCCCACCACAGCCATGCCCACCCTCCTGGGTGTCACCTCTCTGGGTCCCCCAGCTGCCCCACCCACCACAGCCATGCCCACCCTCCTGGGTGTCACCTCTCAGGGTCCGCCAGCTGCCCCACCCACCACAGCCATGCCCACCCTCCTGGGTGTCTCCTCTCCAGCTCCGCCAGCTGCCCCACCACAGCCATGCCCACCCTCCCTGGTGTCACCTCTCCGGGTCCCCCAGCTGCCCCACCACAGCCATGCCCACCCTCCCTGGTGTCTCCTCTCCGGGTCCCCCAGCTGCCCCACCCACCACAGCCATGCCCACCCTCCCTGGTGTCTCCTCTCCGGGTCCCCCAGCTGCCCCACCCACCGCAGCCATACCCACCCTCCTGGGTCTGCTCCCGCAGCTCCAGCCTGGCCATGGCCAGCGTCTCCTCAGCCTTTTGTGCCTCCTGCCGCAGCCTGTCCACTTGGGCTTCTGCGTCCTTGATGGCCTAGAAAAGGGGCCACGCCGACCATTGCTCTCCCCGTCCCCTCGGCGTCACCACCTGCTTTGTGGGAGGGTGGGAGGGTGGGGGTGGCTGCCCAGGTACAAGAGGTCAGTACCTGCCAGGACCTCCTGGCTCTCCACCCATGCCCCCCAAGGAGGTTTGGAAGGGGAGCCCCCAGAGTGGTGTGGGGGCATGGGGAGGTGTAGGAAGCACAGAGGCGGGGGAGCCCCACCTGCAGTGTGAGCTCCGTCTTGCCCATGCCCTTCCTCTCACACTTATCGTGCTCCGTGATCCTCCGGTTGAGCTCACAGTAGGCCTGTTGTAGCTGCGGGCAGACAAGGCTTGCAGCAACTCACCCCCGCCTGACCCTTCAGCTCCCCCACCCCACCCCTCCCCGCCCGGAGGGAGGCCTAGATCACAGCTCACCTCCTTGTGACACCTCTGCTGCTCCTTAGCCAGCTCCTGCACCTTGATGTTGATGCTGCGGTGGGAAGAAGCCGGCTGGTCAAAGTCGGCCATGTTGTTTGCCATCATCCGCCCCCCTGCGCCCCGTCCCCCCCCCCTCGGCGCACCGCTTGGCCTCGGCCTCCTTGTGCTTCTGGATCTCCTGAGCCCTGCGCTCCTTCTCAGCCTCCATGTTCTGGAGCATGGCTTCTGTGAGGCTCAGGTCCCACGACTGCAGCACGCTGGCCACGGTCACCAGCGAGGCCACCTGAGTGAGGACAAGGCATTTGGGGCGTGGAGCCGTGTGTGTCTGAGTGGCCTGCCGGCCTAGGAAGGAGGCGCTTCCTTTTTAAGAGGAAAGGCTAGGGTGCCGTGGCTGGGAACCGAGAGATCACAAGCCAAGACCACAGGTCCCCTGGGCAAACTGTCCACATCCAAGCAGGACCTGGCTCCAGGGGCAGAGCTCCCAGGGCCACTTTTGCCCCTCTCCAACTGCCCACCAACCAGGCTGGCCTCCATCTACCACTCATGCTAGGCCATCAGGGCCTCTAGGCTGCCCGCACTACAGGCACAGACACCGTTGTCTGGAATTGCTGTAATCTGCTGTCCGCCTGAAGACCTGCCCTTCTAGGACACAACCTCTAAGAGCCACAGAGACCTGGGTGTGACGGTTTACACGTGTGACCTCAACATTCTCTTCCTAGCCTGGCTGTGAAAAGCAGAGATGATGCTCGTGAGGTCACAGGAAGAAGAGGGATGGTGAGGCCTGGCAGACTCGGCCATCATCCACAGATACCGGAGGAGAGATGGAGAAGGGTCTACACAGAGGGCTGTGAGCCTCAGGAAGGCTGGGGACGCGGCTGACCCGCACGAAGTACGTCTGTCCAGCCCCCCTCGTGCCGATGCCTTAGAGTCAGGCCCTGTCTGTTGGCCCCAACTTGGCTCAAAGCCCGACAGAGACAAACGCATAATCTTTCAGATTCAGCGGCTTTGCAGGGAGCCCAAGTTTAGTTTTAGAAATTCAGGGACTGCCTGCTCTTCATCGCCTACCGATCAATACCCAGTTGCTGCAAGCCTCCGTCAAGACGCCGCCCCCGAGGGCTGCCTGGGCTCTTCACTGCCAGCATTGCCCTTCACAGATCTGAGCTCCTTGGTGTTGAGCGACATCAGATGGCAGTGGCCCACCCACCACCTACAGAGGGTATGCCTCTGACACCTTTGTCCAGTGTCTTCTCTGGTCAGCTCCATCCTTGGACATCATAGCACCCATGTCCTCGCCTCTAGATCCCTCCTGTTTGACGCCTCCTTGGACAGATCCATCCTGGACCCCTTCCTTAAAATCACCACTCTCCGCCTGTCCACCCTAGGAACACAGCCTCTTACCCTCTCCACTTCTCACGTTTCCTTACAGTTTTATACTATGGAGTGGACTATCCACGGGCACTTATCTAAAAGAATAGTTATTGAGAACTATGTGCCAGGATTTTTGCCAAGGAACTTGATGGTTATCTGTGGTCCCGCAGTGGATAGAAGAGCTGCACTCAGTGGAAACCAAGAGCACCAGAGAGCGGCGTGGTGCGTTGATGGGTGTCCCCTGAGCAGGTCGGTGGTTTAATAAGTTAATGAAGTGTCAGGATAAAGACTGAGCTAATTGAAAGGAAGACATAACACACGACATGTGGCAAGTTACTGCAGTTAACTGATGCCCGAGTCCGGCGAACATAAGAACGAGTTGATGAATTTACTCAATACAATCTTCTGGACCCACCACCTCAGCACGCCACTGTCCTTGTCCCCCCCCC